GAAGTTTGAAATCCACCACCCAAAGACTTCCACCACAAACACCGCGATACAAGGAAACTTCTTGAATAAAAAATAATATTCTAAACGACAATGTACTTATAARAAAGTTAGGAATAATAAATCTGAAATAACCTAAGTAAATTTGGTAAAAAAGAGAGCTAATTCATAACCAGCTACAGTGAGCGTTTCAACGCTTCAACGCCTATACCCTTTACACTTTTTTTCCCGAGGCGAAGTCCAGGAAAACATCGAGACTCGAGGAAAAACAAACTCATTGTTATAGAGTAGTTGAGAAATATTGAGAAGTCAGTTTACGAAATAAAAACTTTATTTAGCAAACGAAATGCAAGAAAACTGACAAATTATTTTATAAATAGCATATGGTCTTGTAAAGCGAGGAGAATAGCAACAGCATTAGCCGCTCTATGGCGTCAGAGGGTAACATTTCACTGTTACACGCGAATGTTTACCGGCGACCTTCAGCGACCTTCACTTCACGCGAACAGCATGTGGTAGAAGATTTTACGTCGAGGGATAAGTTTCACGTGACAAGAATGGAAGAAAATAAACAAGTGCACGTGATCGATCCGAACGTGAAAAACGCTAGTGGCGTGATGTTTTGCTCCAATCACAAACAACAAAACATGAGCATTATTTTGCTGACTTTTTCAATACGAATCAGTGGAGCTCGAAGCAAAACAATAGAGATTTTCCAGTCTTTCTAGAGAAGAAATACAGACTTTTATTGAAAAAAAGGATTAGGGAAATACGCAAAAAGCGGATAGAAAGGCTGTTGTTACTCTTCTCACTATTTTCTTTTTTCGTGACTCTCGGGAAAACAAAACTAACCATTTCCCTTGCGACCAGACATTAAGTGTATAATATAGCGACAAAGCAGCGAGTTTGCTGATTATCGACTTGTTCCTACAAACAACAATATTTTGATTCTACGCCAGCTATATTTTAACCAAATGAGTCCCGTAACTGACTGTGAAACCCAGTGGAACCTGAATAGTTAAAATAGAAATGTGCAAGCATTTTTGGACAGGACATAATTCCAACTTTTTATAACAATTTCAAAGGTATAAAGGTCACTACGACAATCTTACTGCTCTGAGTAAGAATTTGTTCGGCATTTACGGGAAGAATTATTTCCTTCCATGGCATCGGTGGTACCTTCTCCAGTACGAAAACCTACTCATACAGATCGACTGCAATATCACGGTGCCTTACTGGGACTGGGCGGTTGCTGCTGGTAATCCCTGGGGTACATCGCCAAAAGACCTTTGGTATTCTGGGGACAGTGGTTTTGGAGGTAACGGTGCTCCAGCTAACTACTGTGTACAATCAGGTCCCTTTAGGGAGGGGGTGTGGGAGCTTCCTTCTTCGGCATCACCCCCACGATGCCTGAAAAGGAATTTTAATGGCCATCCTCCAGATAGCGCTGCAGTGGTCAGGCTGTTAAATTTGCAGCATTCAAGGTTCAATGATTTTGAGACCATTCTTCGTTCGGATTTTCATGATATTGTACATTGTTTGATTGGCGGTACGATGTGTTCAGCGGATGCTGGGGCTGCGCCTGAATTCACATTGAATCATGCCATGATCGATAAGGTAAGTTCGATGCGGTCAATAGAAATATGTGACATTATGCACACATTATTTTATCTTTAAAAAAAGCAACGTAATACGGGGTATTACGGCCATTATATTTACTAAGTGGTGTTTTAAAAACTAGCGGGAGTATTTTATCGGGTTTAAAAACACGAGGCGTAGCCAATTCTAGTATTCTCAAAATATAAAAAATATTAATGAAGAGGACGTTATCGGTATAAAGTTCCATACACGTGACGTGTATGGTTGCTCCAACTGATTTAAAAAGGCTTATGCATTATTCATTAATTTTTTTTGGATATCCTTCGATCAAGGCATTTTCCAATCCAGAAAACATTTGCTTTTCCTTTGATAAGATTATTCATGAATCTGTTTTGATTGCAGATTTGGGCTGCTTGGCAAAACAAAAGCACCGAACACAAGCTAGCGTTTTTCCCGACGATAAATACACCACTACCAGGAACGTCTGGACTCCTTCCCAGTCAGCTCATTGATAACACGGCATTACCTGGCGGAGTGAAGATTGAGTACGAGTGAATTCGAAGATGTGTGCATTGTAAACAACAATAAATTCTATGCTAAATTAATAAAAGCAACTGCATTTTTGTATAGATCAATCTATTACCTTCAGTAGTGCACTTCTCGGTTATATTTGAAGGAACATTATACCAATCTGAGGCCATTAAAGCAAAGTAAGGCATAAATGAACCCCCAGAATAAGCAAATCAACGAAGCGTCCCTAATGTCTAAATTAGGACAATATCATTCAAGATGCCCGTCGTATTGGTAAAAAGATACAAGGAAGCAGCAGAATATTAAATATGCTTTAATTTGTGATTTTTTTCATTTGTAACTTTGATGAAAATAGTTTAGAAGTTTGATCTTTTAAATCTACTTCAATTTGTGTTTATTGAAGGAAAAATGTAAACACAAGCTGAAACCAGAATGCATTGCAAGAAAATTAAAAGAAAAAAAAGAAAGAAAGAAATAGTTGGGTAACTATAAATWTCAGGTCACCCATCCAGGTACTAATCTCCCTCAAAAGTGCTTGACTCAGTGTCTTGTAAGCCCAAGCTTTTTCCACTCTGGCACGATTTCAGGAAATTATAGCACAACAATAGGCAAGACAACAAATACCCAGATAGGGTAGATTATTTTTCCACTTCTAAATCAACGTGCCAGTGCGTGGCAGGTTGTGCAATGGATTAGCTGTAGATATGGTCTGGGGGCCGGCTAGTCTCTCCCCTGATGCTTCGGCTAGAACACAGTTCTGCGTAATCCATACACCCAAGGGCAGAGGGGACTTAATCGCCGTCAGGTCCGAAGTCCATACGACGCCCCATCGGATGTCTAGGGGGTATGGCATGAAGGCACTAGCTTTTTTTTTTCCTTTTCTGTAATTTGGAATTAATTATCTAATTATTAAAGTTGGTGGACGTGGATTCGGTTCCAACCGCATTAAGAGTATCTTTCTTTTTTAACTCCCTCTTCTTCTTATCTAGCCCTATATTTTTTAAAATATTTTTCTCTTATATATATTTCTTATTTTTTTACACGACTCATATTAATGCAAGAAAGTTATTATTTTTGGAAAGGAAGTTTACTTTCTTTGATTAATGAGGTATCATCAGTATTTTCTCAGCTGAAACGTCCTTTAAGCATCAATATCATTCGTCTTCTTTGTTATCTATTTCTATCACTAGAAGATTCCATAGAATATGGTGTTTTTAATAAAATCCAAAGGATCACTTAGGGCCCCGTTTACCTAAATGTAGGATAAGCCTACCCTACTTATAGAGTGCTATCTTTTTAATGTTTTTTCGATAAGAAAAAAAAGCCCTCCTTTTTCCACCTTGATTCAAGAGGGTCTTGTAGATACTCGTGATACTATAAACAGCTTCTTTGCCTCTAATGGCATATTCAAAAGTCAAATGATGCTAAGGAGTCCTGCGAATATGGAAAAAAAGACTAGATGGCCAAATGCTTTTTTAAGCCTTAAAACTTAAATCGGAAAAAGATAGTACTATTTTTGGCTATCACTATCGTCACTGAACAGTCAAATGACCAATATATTGGAATTTCGTTGAACGTAAACAAGAGATAAAACTTATAATAATAGATTAAAACATATCTAAATTCGAGTTGCACTTCAAAAATCGACCAGACGTGCAGACCCTGGAGTGCATCCGCCATAACCAGTGCAGCCAAGGACAAAGTTAAAAGTCATCAAATTTAGAAGGTATTGCTAGTTTTTGAGGCTGCCATTAGGTTAGCTGAATCGGGCGAAAGAATTTCCATTAGAATATTTGAGTTACAGTTTACACGCCGCGTGAATTTTTTCTAAATTTGGTGCTTTGTAAAGACTTTTCATTAGCTTTTCATTTTCTTTGAACCATCATCATAGCCCTGCCTTTGTTTTTTAAAAGAGAGCTTTGCATTAGAATAATTTTTTTTAATGAGTGTAAATGCTGAAAAACATTTTGTTCCTTTTTGAATTTGATTTTAAAATATAATTTACTTAAACTTTGTTTCTCTTTGATTTTCAGGATTATCGTGAAATCAATTCAAAGTGAAAATTTCCATCACTTCTTGCATATTTCGTAATGGCGAAGACATATTCCTGCTTTCTCGTTTTGCTAGCAGCTTTTTGCTGTAATTGTCAACTAGCCAACAGCCAACAAGGTAAAAACATCCAGCCACTTAATCTCCGCTTCGCTTCGATTGTTACTGTGTCGCAGACAGAGGGGCAATGAACGAACAGTTATCCGCCCATTTTATTTATTTGACCCGATAAAATAATGTAAGAAATATATGAATTTTTCTATATCGACAGGAAATAAAATCACTAAAGAGTGCGATTAAAGGGGTTAATTACTTCAAGATGGCAGTGTAGAATAATTCTGTCCTTAAATTTCGAAATAATGAAAAAATGCTGCCTTCAAACCTTATCTCAGAAAATCTTACTGCGCCTCTGTTGTTGCGTTGTTGTAAGATAACTTTCGCCTACCAAGTTTTAAAAAATTAATTTTTTTTATTAGTACCTAACTATGGTTATTCTTTTATGGAATCTGATGCAATCGACTTTTTTTAGATATTTATACAGAGTGGGAACCATGGAGCGACTGCTTTAATGAAGAAAATGGAATGAGAGTTAGATACCGATTTCGAGACTGCTTTGACTGGGACAATTGGGGTTGCTTTGAAACGTGGCAAACACAGGCATGCAACGGTAAGCACGCGTGGCTATGAATTTCCTAAGTATTAATATGAAAAATATATTATTTTATGTAAAACTTACATCTTGATCCTCTCTTCAGATGAAATTGTACATGGTAGATGGTCTCTGTGGAGTGGATGGTCCTCTTGTTCTGTCACGTGTGATGGAGGCAGCCAATCACGAACGCGCACGTGTACAAACCCTGCACCAGCCAATGGTGGACGAGACTGCACAGGATCAAGTAGCGA